ATATTGGCAGAGGAGTGGCATCGGCGTGAGACAGAGAGAGAGACTATCTGCAAAAAGAAGGTAGTCATAACACATTCACGCATATTCGCTTTCTCTCGACTAATACAACTTAATGTTTATTTGTCTAGGTTGCAGTCTTTTTGAAATACAGTGGGCAGCATCTAAGGAAAATGTTTCCTTTTTAAAAGATTTTATTCGTGTGATATTTTCCCATTTAATACATTCGACTATTTTACGAATAAAAATTAGGCATATCTAAATTTCAAAATCTTGATTTTATGACCGTGATAAAGTTAAGCAACTATATAGCTAAATATAAAACGCATATTTGTGGGCTTCGGTCTAAGCTTCAATCTATTTTCCCACTCATTTCTTCTCGAGCATCACTATTCAAGACAATGCTAACTTCCTGCGAGAATAACAAAAAAAGACGGCTGTATTCTTGGACGGTGTCCAAGATGAAGGCGATAGTATTGACTGAACTTTAAGTGATGCTAGTCGTGGTAACTTCAAAAGAAGTTTCAATTTCGCAATTAGATTTCAATCTGCCAACACTTCCAGCGAAATCCGAACAATGGAAATTCGGGTTCAAAGGCAAGCACATTAACATTCAGACCGCTCTAGTAGCATCTCTGAATCACACGAAGTATATCACTTTCAAGCCGGGAGGGCCATTTTATAAGCCCTTTGTCTATAGTGAAGACTTTAGCATAGAAAGACATTAAATTTGATCGGCACTTAATATTTATAGCACTCATTTGGTCGAGGCAATCTGAAATATGGCTGTTGGGAATCATCCATGCCTTCTAATTCAGATATGCGTTGAGGTAACCGGTTTTCGCTACAGAAACCCCGCAGGCCTGGCTCAAATCATACTAGCAAATTTTCAAGGCTCAGGCCAAGCTGAGCTTAAGGTACGCTACACATGAAAGCTCTCTTTAAGGAATCGAATAAGAAATGCGTTTTGAAGAATTCCTTAGTAATTTACTATGACACGGCTTTCCATTTGGAAGATGTTGATTGGAAGAAATTCGTGAAATGGTCTGACATTAAACCGAAGAAAGATTGCCGTAGAGTAAATGTTGATGGGTTGTGTGAAGAAGTCTTCGGTTCACCGTCCTGCAATGCCGATGAAACCGTACTAACGTTTCGTCTGTACTATGACAGACATCATCAGAGCAAGAATCTATACTTTACAAAATAGCGCAGAATATTAAAAAAATCAGGGGAACCGGTTTTCGACGAGATCATTTCCGAATTCCTTTAATTCAACTTTTTTTTCAAAATGGAAAGTCATGATGCTCTTTAAAGATAGCTGGCTTAGTAGACTTGACGGTAAGATAAGGCTTCTTTTTCAATTCCTCTTGTGAAATTTCACAATCATTGTCCGTATTACTATGAAAAAATGCAATAATTTATCCCAAAACTTTTCTTTCCACTAGAGTTATGAGTGATTTTGATCTTCATTCTCGTCCGTTCTTCCATTTTATCTTCTACTCACAGTTAGCCGAATACGAAGAATTGGAAAAGTCACTTCGCGAGGCACTATCCCGAGTTTCCCAGCGAGAGCGTCAACTGGCTGCTGGCGAAATCGAATTAGTTCGACTTCGTAATGAGACTATGCAAGAGATAGATTCGAAACGGCGAGAACTAAATGCGGTCGGACAGCGCACAGCAAGGGAGGCAGAGCAACGCATCCGCCTTGAGCGGGAGCAGAGGGATTATTGGAAAAACATGGTATGTATTTCGAAGGCATGAAGTGTGTTTTATCCCTTGGTGGAATAGCAGTTAAAGTACAAAATTGCTGCTTACTATAGTCGCTTTTATGTATCCTTGATCACAATCACTTCAAAAAACCTGGTAGCATGATCGGCACAACCTAACAAATATAGTCACTAGAAGATAGCAATTTAGGCCCTTGTGGATTCGTGTTTAATCAGTGCTGTCTTCAGAATTATAAATGAAAATGTGATAATGAACTAGATACGCTTTAACTAATATTGAAGTTATTTGACCTTGTTTTCGCAACTTTTTCATATTGGTAGGAAGAATTAGAGGAACATACATAGTCCATTGTATGCATGATCATATCCAGTCGGACCGTGAACGTAGTACATTCCTAGAAGTTTCGCCGGCATTGTGAGTCTTGCCATTCTTAGCACCAAACTACAACTCGTCAAATTGATAAGTGAAGCCGATCCTTTGATAAATTGTATGCTAAACAATCGTAGTATCTCTCCTTCCGCCCTGGGATAATCAGCAATTGTATATCCTCGTATCACGCCTTCACTATCACAATTTTTCCCTTGCTTATTTAAATCTAGTGTGGTGTGCCTTTTGGGGTGGATTTAATGAGAACCCTGGACACCCAACGCTGACGTTCTCACTCCCATTAACTCTTGTGCTGGGAACATTGATCAGAGTCTGCCATATTGTTACACAGTCCTCCTTCCCTATGTCTTATCACAGTCTCCCTCTTGCCCCGTAGAATCCGTCTGCTATCGCCCTGGTTCAAGTATTTCAATCGACCCCTGCCACTCCATCTGTGCTACTCGAGGCTAGCCATTACATGCGTCTGGGTGACTAATTCGAGACTAAAGCCTCTGAGTAATTCTCATGGTCAAGCCTTTGTTAGATGGCCAACTGTGAGCCAACTAGTTCCAGTCTCCGCCGCCTCTATCCTGTTTCTATCCGTAATATCAAGTCTATGACTTGCTATGCCCTAGTTTGCCATGTGTCAACACACAAACGTTGTGGCTCGACCTTAAACATAATCAAAGCAAGAAGTACCACACCATTTGTAGGTTGGCACACAAGAGACTAGTGCATAGCAGTTCATAGACTTGGTATTACGGATAGAAAGAGGATAGACGCGGCAGACTGGAGCTAATTGGCCTGTTTTACCTTAGACGTGGTCCATGTAGCAAAGGCTTGACGATGAGCCTTATTCAGAGGCTTGAGCCTCGAATTAGTGACCATTACGCAGGGTAATAACGCCTTGTGTAGCACAGATAGGGTGGTAGGGGTCGAAGTGAAATACTTGAACCAGGTAGATAGCAGACGGATCCTACGGGGCAAGAGGGGGACTATGATAAGAACTAGGGAAGAAGGACCGCGTAACAATATGGCAGGCTATGATCAACATTCCCAGCACAAGGGTGAAGGGGGGGGGATGAGAACGCCAGCGTGGAGTATGGAGGGTTTTCATGAAAGCCGCTCAAAGGGCACATTTATATAAGAAAGGAAAATTGTGATACGAGGATATAGGAATGGTGAATAGCCCAGGACAGAAGGAGAGATACCACAACTGTTTAGCACGTATTTGGCCAAATAATCAGCTTTACTTGTCTCTGACTAGTTGTAATGTGGTGCTAAGTGGCAAGACTCACTGACGATGCCGGCGAAACGTCTGGGAATGTACCACGTCCATGGTCCGACTGGAAATGATTATGCATACAATGGACTTCGGACTAGCTACGTTCATCTAAGTCTTCCTACCAATATGACCAAGTTGCGAAAACAAAGTCAAACAACTTCTACGCAACGAAAGGAGACTGCGACCACACAGAAGGCCACACTGTCTTGGTCTTCATATCTTCGGTTTAACTAATATTGATTGAAAATAATTATCTTCTAGGCTTAATTAAAATTATTGATAATAATTGTTATACTAATAATAAATGTATTTTAGATAAGAAACGTTTAAGAAGAGATTTAAAAATAGTGCTTTTTCCATGTTTCTTCGTATGCTTTGTGCAGATAGATAAGCGAGCTAGTAAGGAAGTGGGGAATAAAAATATGTCCTCAGGGAAATTTTGACACTTTCTTTAGTTATATTCACTTTTAGATAAAAATTGGATCTGCCGTCTCTTTCATAACAAAAGTGCATGAAAGGACGATTAGGGTAAAAAAAATCAGAGGTAGCAGAACACATGGCAGAAACTTGACTAGAGATTGGATTATATCAAACTTGTCATTTGGTTAATAATACTGTATAAAATTAAGCGAAAAATGAGAGGCTTAGAGAATAGGGATGATGCTGTGTAGCATGAAAAAAGAATGTGATTCAATAAATATTTTGTTGGTATTGGTTCTAATTACGATCATACTTTAACATCTTTCTCTCAAACAAGAAGCTCAGTAACTCAACTAGCTGTGAGCTCCGACAATGTGCCGTCTGGAAGATGATTAAAACAAAGAAGGGATCTGGTTCACTAAAATTTGGTGGAGGATAGAATTTACGTTCTCTTCTAATTACTGTAAGCTATGACTGCTGGTTTCGTAAATATTCATACGCATGAAGGCACTCATATACACACATGATTCTAACCAAATTACTTCATGCCTTATCAAAATGCTTAGGATTATGGTATACATACAGCATGCAGGCATAGGCTAGCGATGTTAGAGTACCTTTCATTTCGTTTGAAAAGGCGAGTGAAAATGATTCCTAAGTTTTCATCACAGGAAGCTGTATGAGGATGGTCTTGGAGCCGTAACAGTAGATTTGTGCAAATAGGTCATCTGTGACCCCGATGAATCCTTGCCGAGCTTTCGTCCATCATATAATTGACATGGTCAGAACAGGACACCATGTTTAAAGATACTTCACTATAACACGAAAACAAAAAAGATGGCCAGCTACAATCCTATCTTCTCTGTATAGCCTAGCCTTTGTTGTCTGCGTGTTTGCGTGAATTATCGTTAAGCCTGGTGTCCTGCTCTGGCGATTTCCATCAAATGACGGAAGAAATCTCAACAAGGATTTATTGGGGCCTCAAAGCGGTTACTGAGGCCATATTCGCACAGATCTAATCGCATTTCTAAGGTAATCCTTCTACAGCTTCATGCCAGGTCAACTTGCGAATCTCTTCTACTCGCCTCCTCAAACGTGTTGTACTCCAACATCAACACATTAAGACAGTGATTCCAAAACTGCTCTGCGGCCCCACGGGGAGCCCCCATGAGGCAATATCTTTATATATTTAATAATATTATCTACTCCCTATAACGAGCGAGTGTATGATACATTCTTAAATATTATATCTTTATATATATTTAATAATAATATCTACTCCCTATAACGAGGGAGTATATGATACATTCTTATATATTAAATCTTTATATATATTTAATAATAGTATCTACTCCCTGTAACGGGGGAGTTTCGTCTCCATTTTTTTCCCTTGGTTTATGCCTTTGGAGGCTGACGAATGGCATCAAAAGTGCATCCAGCTAGAAAAAGAGCCACCAAAGCGTGGGCCCGTACGGTCGAGCTCCGCAAGCCGAGGACTCAGCACCGGGTCGCCTGTTGACGCTACTTGTCCAGACGAGAACCAGAAGTCTGTTATTACAACCAACAACGAATCCAATCCAAGCACTGTCCAGCTCCAGGTCGAACTAGCGCGGCTTTCGGGTCAACTGGTCGCATGCGAGGAGCGTGTAGCTAATACAGAGCATCGACTAGCCGAAGCTAACTCTGGTAGGTTGCGCTACCGTAGGTTATGGATGCGTGCCC